TATGTATTTATTAAACGCAAGGGTGTGTTTATGGAAAACAGATGTCAGATGGCATAATGTTAGGGAGGTTCCTTGATGTAGAAGAAATGGGTCAACCTGAAAACAACCATTGAATAACAAGCATCTCATTCCTAGCTAACAATCTATGAGTCTTTTACACTTAAGGTAGAAGATGTTGCAGCAGGCATTGTAGTCCGGCAGATGGGTGTGGCAGGTTGTGGGAGCCAGGTAGCTAGGGTCCGTTCTGATAGGCAGTAGGAAGGGTATGTTGTGGATACAGATGTTTGGGGATTGAGTGACAGGTAGAAGTATGGCAGCCAGAAGCTGGGTGAGTGAGCTAGTATGGTTTTATGCCGCTTTGGGCTGGGATGCATGGCTGTAGGTTATGGAACCAGGTCAGGTAATAGGTGTGGTGGTATGTTGTGGATCCAGATGTTTAATGGGGATAGGGTGATAGCAGTAGGTAGTTCCCTCAGAGGTTGAGCGAGTGAGTCAGTGGGTTAGTGAGTATGGTTTTATTACGCTTTTAGCAATATTCCAGCAGTATCATAGAAGAGGACACCAGAAATGGGCTTCACTCACTGTACCCATGTGGCGAATCAAACTCAGGCCTTTGGCATGACTAGCAACGCCTTAACCAGTAGACTGGTGATAGTGGAACATGGTTGGTAAAAGTGTTACGTAGGCGGTATAGAACAAGAAATCAATGGCCATAGATGACAGTGTTTCCGCTGACATTTTTACAGCTGGACATTGTGACCGGCTTGCATTTCAAATACCGTTTTTTTGTAAATTTTACTGGTCAAGTGATCACGCTTTTGATTGTGCGCAAGACCTTGCACCCTAACAACCAATCAGAAATGTAGTGGGTATCGCAATCCGTCAATGCTGCTATTTTTAGCCTGGGTTGTTTCAAAACTGCTATTTTTTATTTAACTTCTCAATGTCATTGTGAAAATGTAATCTTTTTGGAGGAGAAATATAACTGACAGAAGTAATTAGAAAATTGATTTTAAAACGCCGGACACGATTACCAATAACCTTTGAAATTACCGGAGATTCTTTGTACCAGTCAAAGTCTGGTATATACCGGATAATGGAAACACAGGATGATAAAGCCAAAACATTTTTAACAGGTTTACTAAGAAAGCAAAAGTGAAGTATCATAGGATATGATCCTATGTGCACTGCAGTGTCAGAACACGGAACAGGATGGTGTGTATTTTCAGCTAGTTCCTGACTGGCCGAGGTCATGTCCAGCCTGGTAACAGAATGTAACTACACACAACAAGAATGTGTGGAATGACTCCAGCCTGTCACCCCAGCTGTTGTAATGACCTTCACCTTGCCAGTGTACCTGGGCTAAGTGATGGAGGTACCTGTTCTGCAAACATCTCCCACATGAATATATCCCTGTTGGTCGGGAACTGGTGTCACGCCAATCAGTGTCACGTGCACTGTAGCCAAGATTTAATCCGAGGCTGGGACTCAAACACCTCTATTGTTTACCTTCATGTATTTCTGTATCATATGATAAATAGATCTTCAGAACCTTATTATCAGCATCTGCAAATGTTCTTTGTTAAGATGTAAATATCAAAAAGAGTAAGTGAATTTTTCAATCTTTTTTAAATCTCACGTAGCTAATGAAACGTTGTCTGCTCTAAGCTCTCCAAACATTCTCAAGTAGTCAAACCTCCAACAAGTTGATTATGTTTATGATGTCTCAAAGATAAGGAGTGTAAACCCATGAAATCCACTTTGAATTCTAGAGCCTTGAACATAGCCCATAGAAAGATCCCATAAATACTTACACAAAGTAGGACACTACATACTTCAGGCTATTCACAAGGAGAAAAAACACATTGAAGTTTAATACTGTTATGCTAATAGTTGGGTTTTTTTTCTTTCCTTTCAACACTGTACGTCTGTTTCAGAGCACACCCTATTCCACTGCAACATGAGGGCTTAAAAAATGTTTAATTTGGGTTTGGACGGGTCCAAATTTTCTACCCCTATTACCCTACCCTACCCAGATCCCCGTAATGATAATTCCTGACATCAAATTTGCAACAAATATCAATATATTCTTCAGCTCGGGAGGCTAAAATTTCGAGCTTTTCAGTGTCTTTACCATGTTTAATATTCAAAAGAAGGGACTGTAAATTATGTCTAAATCTTCAAAGACAATACAACCTTTTAATCATGAAAGAATAACATATTACATTGTTTAACCCATGTTATGATCATAACGGGTCCGGGTATTGAGACGGGTACCCGAGTATTGAGACAGGGCCCGGGTATTGAGACAGGTACCCGGGTCCAACTCATTACCCACCCGTCACAGGTATTCGGGTTACCCGTCCCAGCCCTAGTTTCAATGTTTATCCTTGAGCATGCTCTGTGACATCTGAGAGCTATTATATAACAAAACTGAGATACTGTTCTGCACAATAAACTTTCTGCAGTTGCAGGAATGGTAGTAATAGATCCAAGCCGGTATCTATGTGTAGAAATACATAATGTTTACTACGGAAAAAGTAACATGTCAACCAGTTTTGATTTGTCGCCAATAACGAATATATTGTAACGTGTAAGATGTTTATTCAGCATAATGGCCAAAGGTCCAAGTGGATATTTAAACTGAATACACTTCATTTTCTTCATATTGTTGTCATGTGTTACGGTGTGTGATTTTAATATCAACTGAACGCTGTTATATTGAAACTTCCCACAATGCATCTTCTGTCAATACAACTACTCAAAAGGAAGTTAAAAAATACCTCATTTTTTCCTAATCTGTCAAGACATGATATATTAACAAATATCATACGAAAGGACTGTGAGGGGTATATTATGATTATCTGTAATGTCAACAATATTTCAGAAATATTACAGTTATCTGCAATGTCAGCAAAATTTAAGATACATCATATAACATGCAATGTCGGCAAAATTTAACATACATCATATAACATGCAGTGTCAGCAATATTGAAGATGGATTATCATCACCTAATGATGAGCAACATTTCCTGGGTAGGATTTCACATTTTTGCCCAAATGGTACTTCTTAGTGTTGCTATAGAAACAAGTGTAAATAAACTAAAACCTGTAGATTAGCGCATGTACATGCATGTAAAGCCTCATAATTTGAAAGACTTCTGTATTTCATTTCTGAACACTCGTGACTTACACGCAATGGGAATTTTGTACATTTCATTTCTATTTGAAGTTGCCATGACAATGTAATAAATGAAAGCAGCAAAGCGTAAAATGAAACCAATGTCATTCATATGAAAATGGTGACATTTAACCCACAAGCATTGAAACGAACATTCCAACATTACCTTTTCATACATAATTAACCAAAGCAAATGTCAGAGCAGATACATTTGGAGGATTTGTCCCTGTAAAATGTCACCATATTTCAGTGTTAATCAATACGAGAAGGGAGGCTGCGAGGCACATCAGCAGCTTTGTCAGGTCACCATGACCCAGTGATCAGAAATGACACACCTTCTACTTGGAAACAAATCGGCAATTACCGACTAAACGCAAACATGCAAGTTTCATGCTTAAACACAAGGCTGACAATATAAAACGCACAAACACTGGAATGCTTTGACAAAACAGATTTGTCTGACAAGGCGGATGATTAAGACTGTTATCGTGGTTTAATCATAGATATAAATCCGATGCTGTCCAGGAGGATGTGGGGCTTTTTGCACTGTAATGTCTCAGAGTAAAAAATAAATGGTCCATTATGATGCCAGTTCTACAATACCCACCATTACTACATGAAATAATAACAATAACAATAATAATTCATTTATATAGCACCTAGCACATGTGACTAGTTGCTCACTGGACGCTGTAATCAGAATCTGATTACGTGCTATATGCTTATTCTTCAGCACCATTTGTACAGCAGTGATCCCAGCACTGGATGTTTCAGCCCCGTGTTAACCTTTGATGCTTTGTATCCCCATGCACCCTGGGATCCTATTCTTTGCATTTTCCCATGACTCTACGTCTTGCCTCTGGCTCCACTACCCCTACTGCCATGTTCCTCTCCCTGGCTCTTCTACCCCCCCCCTGCCACACCCCTCTCCCTAGATCCTCTACCCCATGCCATGCACCTCTCCCTAGATCCTCTACCCCCTGCCACATCCCTCTCCCTGATCCCACTGCCCCCTGCCCTCCTGCCACATCCCTCTCCCTAGATCCTCTACCCCTGCTGCCATGCATCTCTCCCTGGCTCCTCTACCCCTACCACACCCCTCTCTCTGATCCCACTACCCCCTGCCCTCCTGCCACACCCTCTCCCTGGTTCCACTACCTCCTGTCACATCCTTCTCCCTGGTTCCAATACCTCCTGTCACACCCCTCTCCCTGGTTCCACTACCCCCTGCCCTACCCCTCTCTCTGGTTCCACTACCCCCCAGCTGTCTCTTCCTCTCTTTGAACTCACAAGTCTGCACTCACTGTTGCAATCAATCATGGAAAATTGTGATGTCCATTAACATGTTGCTTTCTGCTAGTAATTATAGAGCATCCAACCTCATGCATATTTCATGCTAATTTCCTCAACACCTGTCAAACAAACAAGTTGATTGAGGGCAGAACGGCTCATTTAGGTAATGGCGTTATCTGTTATCAGGCATTGCAGGAAATAACAAATCCTTGTTATTTATAATAAGTCACCATGCTACTGCTGTCTAACAAGGGGATAAAAGGCAACTTAACTGGTAAAAATCTGTTAACTACGCTGCCTCAATATAAACGCAGTTAAACCGATTACTCTGAAAGCTTTATGAAAGTTCTAAAAGCAGTCTTCCATCGGGTAAACATCATCTTAGTTGAAGTCTTTATTTATTGCTCTATTAAACTCAGTTAATCGTGTTAATAACATTTATATCAAGGCAGTTGCAGCTTCATGGTAACGAACAAAACTTTGCAAAAAAAAGGTAGATCACTCTTCACTTCAACTCTGCTTACCCCAAAATCAAAGGAAACTCTTTTTTTCTGCGAAAACAAGAACAACATGTGACATATACAATTTACAAAACAACATTCAGCACCAACAACACTTGGAGTATAGACATGGTATATAACGTGCAGATATGGCATGTAGAATAATGCATCGATATTGTCCTATTTTGTGATGGTTGTATTACATATGTCATATATCAAATATTAAAAACATATAACATTACCTTTTCTGCATAAAAGTTATAAAGCCAGATGATTGGCTGTAATATCTATGCTGTTTTCATGCAAAAATGTTTCGAGTCCACATATTGCATTAATGATATTTTCATGTCTGGGTATATGGGAAGAATGCATTTCAAGTGTCCAAAGCCGAACCGCAATTAATACTCCGATCCTGTAAATAATCAAATCTGGATCAGACAACCAATGTCGTTTGTCAGATAAATAAAAACTGGCAAAGATATGATTTTGTTCAAATTTATCGATCATGGATTGACTAACAATGCCACACATTTGCAATGTCTTCTATGTAATACACAGTACAAGAGCTGAATCACTCAATCATCACGTCGTCTTGATATTTACCAGCATTCTTCAAGACATTTTGGCATAATGCTAATTTTGGCACCAATACACTGACGATCAATCTAATTATCTGGGAAGGTTTAATGTCAAGTGATCCATGCTGACCTATAATACTCGATCAATGACCAGAGAGATTATTACAACTGACCACATCCAACAAAGTAGGTGACAGGTATAACAGTATATGTACGTGGCACTTGCAGTTACCTCCCTTGCACATAGCCTTTGCTCCTGTGTCAATGTCCCATCTGTTTAGACTGTCCTTACATGTTCCAGACTAATCTATTATTGGTCAGTGACATTTAACTGAGGTCAATCTCCATACCAGCATGGATATATGTCATGTTATATAGTTGTGTCATGATATTTCCTGAAGTTTTACTTTTTGTTTCAGATATCTGAGGAAGTAAAACGGTTTTGTTTCAACATATACATAATACTCGGTTGAAAGTAAATCTTTCCATGACGTGAAGACTTCTACAATGTATTTTCTCAACAAAAAAAACAAAGTGGGGAAACCACATTATGAGAACATGCACCTGGTCAGATTATCGGGTGTTCTCTATCAACAGGTAATTTCAGACTGTTCACATTATCAGGTGTTCACTATTGACAGGTAAATTCAGGCTGTTCATATTATCAGGTATTCTCTATCAACAGGTACTTTCTGTCTTTTCATATTATCAGGTGTTCTCTATCATCAGGTAATTTATGTCTGTTCATATTATCAGGTATTCTCTATCAACTGGTAATTTCTGAATGTTCACATTATCAGGTATTCTCTATCAACAGGTAATTTCAGACTGTTCATATTATCAGGTATTCTCTATCAACAGGTAATTTCTGAAGGTTCATATTATCAGGTCTTCTCTATCAACAGGTAATTCTGAATGTTCATATTATCAGGTATTCTCTATCAACAGGTAATTTCTGAATGTTCACATTATCAGGTATTCTCTATCAACAGCTAATTTCTTAATGTTCACATTATCAGGTGTTCTCAATCAACAGGTAATTCTGAATGTTCATATTATCAGTATATGAAACAGGGCCCCGTTCCTCAAAGCGATCGTAGCGCTACGACAGTTGTAAGTCTATGTTAAAGTATGGGAGTTACGATCATCTTAGCGCTACGATCGCTTTGAGGAACGGGGCCCAGAACTAAAGAACAATTCCTGATAGTAATAACATACCAGAAACTGATTGTTACATCCAGTGTACCTATTGATGTGACTTCATCATAAGACGCATGGAGAGACTCTGAAGCAAGTCCTGAAGCTAAGATTGTGATCCTTCCTGTGCCCCAGACACCAGTTCCACTTATCATAATGAGACTAAAACCTCACTTCTCACCATAATCTCATAGGGCCAGTATTACACCTCTAAAAACAGGAAATACATGAGGTGTTAAAACAAAGCCCCATACATCGTGATTCTTTTCAACGCTGGCTGCTGGCCAATATTTGGTGTTGTCACATGGGAATATTTCTCCTTGATGAGTTTTACTCTCAACCAGCATAGAAAGGTTACGTACTTAATGTGTAGTGATGCTCGTCAATAATTCACATTTCAATCAATCGTTTCCCAGCAAGTAGCACAAAGAGTTGATAACCTGTCTTTGCCATACATTGATGACCATGTTAATACTGTGAGTTAAAACTATTTGCATAATCTATTGCAGGAGCAATGATAAATTATTGACAACTTTACAACATTGTCCACAATATATGAACGCACATTTCAAAATGGCTGCATGTTTATTGACAACCATGACAATTGCTTTGTCAAAGATGTTGATACAGAAAAATGTTTCTTTGGTGCTGGAAAATATAAGTCCTTCTTCATATGAAAGTATTACACAATATGACATAACTGTTCAACGCTTAGGGGCTTGATTAAGGATTTTCCATTATCAATTTTTTTTAGCTGAATCATCTCAAAACTTTACCATCATATTCATCATCATCATCATTTGCGGTAACAATTTGATTGGCATTCTACAAGTTGGTGAGTAAATATAAAAACATAGTATATTTTCTTCTTAAAGGATATTGTGATGTTATTGTGAATGAGAGGCGGTGGGGTGGCCTAGTGGTTAAAGCGTTCGCTCGTCACCCCGAACACCCGGGTTCGATTCCCCACATGAGCACAATGTGTAAGCCGATTTCTGTTGTACCCGCTTAAAACCATACTAACTCACTCACTATTGAGAATAATATCTTAATCATCATGCAGTTTATCACAGTTCTATAATATGCAGTTGTTCACAGGCCGACATTTCAAGGACATGTATTTTACTTGCTCCTAAGCGTGACAGGTCAACATGACTCATCAATAAACCCACAACTAAACCATCCACCATGTACTTCTCATCCTAATCCTATTACCCTAATCCATTCTGTCCACACTAAGATGGAGAACACTTACAATCTTGCAAGTCTAGGGCAGTAGGGTCAATCTGACAGGACAGCATGTCCTCAGCCCATCTCTCTCCACATCCCTAACTGTGGGTGGAGCTCACAAAACTCCGCCAACATTTTAAAACATGTATTTATAGTCCCTGCTATGATCCATTAGGCTCTCCCACCCACTACAACTCCTGTGAGCTGGTACGGCAGGCGAGCTCCATCATCTGGAATCAATGAGCGAAGGAATCTACAGACTCAACTCAACAACACTAAAATGGGTAAACACAAATTTTATGTCTGTCAATGAGGTTCATGGATTCTTGAGACCCTGATAATCCTGTTTTCTTTCTAAAATATCATATTTTGTCTATGAGTTTTAACAAAAGGTATTTACAACTGTACATGTGCAGACACGATTGGTAATGTTCAACTAGTTTTCAACCAGTGGTGTATGTCAAATACTACATTGCAGGGCTGGAAATAACCCATTGCCCGACGCCCCAGTCCAGTGTTTTTTTCTGTCGGGCAAGACAATTTGTATATCCATTATACCGGTGTCCAGCTGACTTTCCAATGTTAATTATGTTGTTTATTTAAAAAATCAACAAGAAAACAGACGGTATAGTGGAAAAATTATCAGGGCAAGTGATTTTACATGTGCAACTGTACCGGAGTACACTAGCAATTTTAAAGATATTTCCACCCCTGCATTGGGGTAAAAATATTTACAGTTTCACATATCTTGATGACCTCAAAGTTCGAAACGAGCTGCAGTTTCACAGGAAGTGTTTATATCGATTCAATATTAAAATGAAATACTGAAATGTGTCCATAGGACAGGGTAGAACAAAATGTACCTGAACAACAGTCATAAATAGAAGTAAAGACTACGCAAAAACAGATTGGAGATAATCCGATTTAACCCCCACACGTCTACATCACTTCATCACAACTGGCACTAAATGAACTCAGATAAAGAAACAGGAATCAACAAAGTCAGCGGAGAGACGTTTCAATTACACGTTGGAGGTGCTGTTCCAAAATGGTGCCAATACATACAATAACGGCTTTCATAATTGAAGGGGACGTTAATAAATTGACCAATTCTCATCCAATAAACCAGATACGTTAATGGAGAACTCCCATGGTGCCCACCCATCAGGTCTTGTACATTGCCGCTGCCAATCAAAGAGGATAACAGCGTCTACAAGCCTGAAATAAGCATCACCCTTCATGAGGGCTTGGTAAAGTTCCTAGCGATTTTAGCCTAGTGGAACATTTGAAAATTGAACTGTAGCTCATAATAAAATCATGTCCGGATATGGGTATGACTCAAGATGATACAGCGAGGCCTTGGAATGCATGCATTTGGAGGGATCAATATTGAATCATTGGGAGTTACAACACCAAAATCTCTCTTAAACGTCTTCAAATTCTTGTCAAATGTGGTAAATACTAGTACTGTTTCACTTGAAGAAATAACACAGTTACAATAAAAGGAAAGTATTATAAGATAAAGGGCCACAGGGTCCTCCAGGCTTTGGAAATAGTAAAGCTTGTGAACTATCTGAGGACCCTTAAATATACTACTCAAAATAGATAAGGACCAACCACTTGTTTCATATTTACTGGGGTGGTGTGTAACCTTTTTAGAGCAGCATATGCATGTACTACTAGAGTTAAAACAAGTTTTCTTGACTAAATAAGAAAATATGATACTTGATGGAAAGTTTCTGGTTTGTTGACTTTAGTCATGTTTAGATGAAGATTCTTAAAACCATTAAGAAGCTGGAGTTTTGAACAGTAATCCTGAAATTGAGCATATGTAACATGAAATAAAGGTAAATTTGTCATTCAAGGAACGTGCAGTGAGATGGATTTGGAAATGAGGAAAATTGGTTTAATCTGTGTAGGAAATGTGGGATGTCAAACTGTGCCATTATGATAATAGCCAGGGTGATCTAAAAACATACCCAGCAAGCTACCCTGGGGGTTACACAGCTGGGGAGGAAGCTTGCATTTTTATTTCCCCGTTTTATGGCACCTACAAGATAGGGAAAATAGTTCAAAACAGTTTACCCTTGGGAGTGGATAGAGGGCTGGCATTCCCATGGAGGGATCATCAACTCTGGCTGTAAGTTTACACTGACTATCAGATAGGGATAAACTGGCCATGATTGTGATGACCTGTAAATACAGATTGCTTCCATACCAGCTACACACTCCATCTGTTGTACAAGCTCTGGGCCAGCTCATGAAGCAGGCATCTTGAAGCAGGGCAGGTCTCTGGCATTGTGCAACATGCGCTAGGCTAGGGTGTTTTCATTGCAGACAATCATTAGCTGTAATTTTCTCAATAATTCAGCTCGTCCTTCACCATGCAACATGTGGTATGGTTTAAGGTCAGTTTGGGAGATTATTATTGCACTAGAATAATATCACTTACCATCAGTTATACAATTTGAGTATTTAATAACAAGGAGATACATGTACATGTTTTGGGGATGAGTGGGCACAACAAATCTCACTGGTTAAAAGTGTTTTATGCACTCTGCAATGGACCATGAAATGAATGAATTAGAAGCAGCAAATTGTACCCAATATCACCCACGACTGGTGATACATAAAAGCAATATTTTGTCAGCAACCTACAGTCTTGATACAATCGATAAACTGATAAAGGACATATTAATATTAATTAATATTGATACGAAGACTTAACCTATCATTGGATATATGTTCACAAGGTTGAAATGGATGCATAGGGATATCTTCCAATCTATCAGTCAATCCTAATATGATAGAAATTAAAATCACAAATAAGCAAGTGAAAAAATGTCTATTGAATAATTTATCTCTGAAATATTTCAATGAATTCCAGAATGCCTGAATTGTGGATGCACTTTGCCAGCTCCAGTGTGATGTAATCAATGACAGACCAGTCATCCATCAGCTGGAACATGCTGAACCACAGTGAATCATGCTGCTCAAGGGACTCACTCTAATATGACTCATGTACGTCCAGATTGATAAAGCAAATAGTCCTTAAATGTCAATTTTAGACACACATGTCAAACTTTGAACTGTAAGATTAGCATGTGTGTCAGTTTAATATTTCACTTAGTATTTGTTTATTGTGTCGGATCAGATAGCTTCCAGTTGGATGGTTGGGCAAATAAAGCAATTGTTGCACAGTGACACAACAGATGAGGGCACAGCTATTGTGAAAGTTGTAGCCTGTTATACATTATACAGGTTATCATATGGTGGAGAATGGTCATGATTGTTTCTACAAACATGACCAAGTTTAATTTTCCTAAAATTAAACAAGTTTCGAAAATGTCCGGTATTTATCAAATACATAAAAAATATATATCCTCATCAAACATCACATCTAAAGAGAGGAGGAAGTCCTGAGCTGTTAGCACATCCTGTGTTGTTGATTTCATGTGGATTTCAAAATGCACCAGCACCTCACTGAATCCTGACCTATATGACTAGCTAGGCAATACGTCCATCAAGTCACATCTGCTTGTGCTCGGCAGTTAGCGTATATATATATATATATATATATATATATATATACTAGGACGATTGATTTTGTGAGTACATTGAATACAACCATTGAATTATGTATATGTATACTAAGCCAGCGGTTTAGCCACATCATGCACAGTGATGGAACTGAATGTCTAAACTGCAAACTCATCTGCAGCATAGGTGCAACAGGTGTTATTTTTATGTGAAATTATTTAGAAATTTCAGACGTAATTTCACTTATGTGAGACATTTTTATTTCATAATTAATAGTTTCATTACTAGTAATACAAGAATGACTTGTTAAAGGTAGCTATTATACCACCAAATACATTGCATATTACTTAAATGTGAACTATAATCTTCATATTTGTATGAATAACCAATCAATAAACCTTAAAATAATCATACATGTGAGTTAATTCATGATAATATATATAACATTAAGTATTAACATCGATAACCTGTTCTGGTTCACATAATATATATTAAAGCCCACTCAATTCACTGTCATTTCTCACTAAGTTGACAGCGTTTTATCCTACTACTTCATAAAATATTTTTATGAGAGCCTCATATATCCAAAATTCACGATTGAAAGTAAACACTATCATCCGATCATGCATAGCAATGCAGTTTGAATCATTATTTTGAGCGGGCGATCGACACCTGGCGCACCTGTCCTCGTGCACACCCCTTTGTTGTCTATTTCATTTGCTCCAGTCGGCAAACTTCAAAGGGCTGACTATGCGATTGTAAACTGCTGGACATGTTGCTTGTATCGTGTTTACGACGTGTATATTGGACCAACACACCCACACATGCACTGTGCAATATCCCCGACTTGATCACCTGCATGACATAACTGAACACAGGCATACTGGGACATGCTTCACTGACTGTCAGGCCTCAAGGTGTGCGGGCGCCATGTTTTCAACCGGCTCTTGACAAACATATCCGGGAAAAACAATCGGGAAAAGTTGTTTGCAGTTTTCACACCTCTTAATAAAAACATGCATATGAACGTGCTTGCTGTAATAGCAGAACATTTTAACAAAAAAGTCTAAATTGTTTTCGATTCACCTACCTCCCCTTCAAGAGTGCCATCAGTTCCCACCTCCGGCGCTAAAGTCGTCATTGCTAATTTGGCGGTGCAATTCAGTCATCAACTCGGACAAAACTTTGTCCTAATCGAAATCGAAATCCACACAAGGCTTCGGTAAGAGTAAAGGTCCTTTTTGCGGCCCAGACAGTGCTGACTTACAGCTAAACTCACGGCAGCTCGGCCTCTGTAACGTAAATGGCGGTAGTAGAGCAGATAGTACGGACGATCCCATTGGCTAGCGAGGGGGGAGAACCTGCCGAAGGGAATTCCCTCAGTTGTGAAAGCCTGTCAAAAGGAAATGATGTGTGCTCGCTTCCCGACATCAAACGTAACGGGACTTGTATGAGGGCGCAGGTCAACTCAATTGAACAATTCAAAATGGAAGGACAGGAAACCGACGATCTATTTACGCGAAACAATGTGGTGATAATACAGATCACCTTTGCTCGACGTTGATCGCCCCATTTCGTCGCTGGGTGGCCACACTGGTGTTGGAGACTGATTATGTGCATAAATCATTGGTGCATTCTCCTCGCATAGGCTCACTTTCAGGAATAGTCCATATAAACTTGACAGACTAGTTAATATATTCTGTAGAAACTTAGATAAGTTTTCCATTCCACATACAATGTTATTTGGCCAACGCTAACGTTGCCATGCTGTGACTGTTCAGTTATATTAGATTTTATGAATACATGTATATAGAAACAATTAATTCAGGATTATTGTTTAATTTTTTTGTAAGCGAAACTATGTGACTAACCAGAAATATACATGTATTATACTTGAAAAAAGTGACATCTCTTGCGGTCCATAAACGTTGACCGTCTCGCGGCGTTAGAGCTAGATTGCTGTTAATATTGTTGATAAGAAAATGCAATAAGCTGAGGTACCATGCATATAGAGAGAAGTTATCACGTGAGTATATGGGAGATGATAAATATCCTGTATCACATTTGTTTGTAAACACCGCAGAAGTACTCAACATTTTCTAACTTTGCATAGTTAGGCGTTACTACCCTCAACGGGTACATATTTTATCTGTTGGCATTTTCATCTTAGTCCCGCAGAGAAATTGACCCACTGTATTCACTCAAGTGATAAACTGTATAGATATTATCTATGTGACGACAGAGAGGTCCCCGGGTCTGCGGCGTCGGTAGATATATTCCATTATGGTAAGGCTTGCGCATTACAGGACTCTACACTCCCTGCAAGTCTCAAGCAAGTCTATTTACGTTTGTGCTTCTCGTTTAACTCAGTGGACGCCTACACGAGAACTGAAATAGATAAGTAATGTCGATACTGGAAATGACATTCTCGGAACGATATGAGCGGATACAATTTCAAAGTATCATGCGTATCTATGCGCTAATTGTCTCCATGGAAACAGCAATATTTGACATTTTACGTCATATGGTGTCGAAACATATTATGTTGCTAACTTATAAGATGGAAATCTATTTTATATTTCTGTGTCACACAGTTCAAAAGAAGAGATTTCGTTAGTGTATTATGTACATGCAAATCATATAATTCACGCAAAACACTTCCTTTACGTACTATGTGATGCTGTTCATGGATCACAGACAGACAGACAGTTTATTTAAGTCTCACCAAGGGTAAGTTTAACAATGGTAAAAGTACCCTATAGCCATTCTTATAGAATTATGAGAGACTGCAGGGGATAATCTAAAAAACAAACCGAAAAAATATAGCAAAGGATATAAGAATGTACAACATGACATGTCAACTTTCTATGTCCAGTTAATACACTGTAGTTTATTTCTTTATATATACTTAATATTGACCAGGCGGCTGGTCAATAATAGGTGTCCACTTTTCCTTTGTTGCAGCTACTTGAGCTGAGGCAATCTAGACTTCTAAACTTGAGTTTACTTTATAGCTCTATATCGTCTGGGAGACTACTACTACTACTACTGCTACTACTACTACTACTGCTGCTGTTGCTGCCACTGCTACTGTTGCTGCTGCTATAGTCTGTCTCACAGTCCCTGAACGGCATCATTTTCTCTTTGACCCAGCCCTTTTATGCAATGCTAAAACCCTAAATTGTTCACGTCTAGCTTTCCTCAGGTCTGAATCTCCCATCTCCTTTTCAATTTATAATTATATATATTCAGAGACTATAAGCGTTAGTCTGCTGCTGCCACTGTTACTGCTACGTCTGAGACTCCTTTCCCTCATCCTTCTTGTTCTCCTTCTTTATCAAAAACGGGAAAGAACTACTAAAACTCTACTTAATACATATTCTGATACACCATACACTCCCGCGTCTAGTGAGTATTGTGATCAATTTGAACTACAACGCGAGTGAGCTGGATTCTCTCCCACAGATGATTGCACTCCGACTGTACAAGTATATTTAGGCCCGACTCCTATATCGAGAGGTCGTATTGTTTTACAAGTCTTCTAAACTTCATGCTCAACGTTTTTAATTCTATGTTTACATCTTTTACACGTGCCAATCCCATCCAGGTGAGTAACGGTGAGTTTACACGTACACGTGCGTAACATATTACTTCCGTTTCCGCATTTGCTGACGTATATATTAGTGTATACATGTGTTTTGAAGCACTTGCTTTGCTGAGCATGTCCGTCATACCTTGCTGAGGCTGTCTGATGGCTGATAGTGGAGAGATAAGCCTTTGCTCAACCTTCTGTTTCGTTTTCTTGTCCAACGGTTCCAAGCTATCTCGATGATAATCAGGAACTTTCTTCGAGTGCCATTTTTGAAGCTGGGAAGTACAATATAGACAAACTTTATGGATAACAACTTCTTTATTTCGTGAGTGCGATGTTTCGGTACAGATTGTCATAACTGCTTGAGAACGGTACAAGAATCTGTATCGAAATGTCGCACTCACGAAATATAGAAGTTGTTATCCATAACGTTTGCCTGAATCAGAGAATTGTCAATAACACCAAACTTGGAATACAAGCGCTAGTATCCGGGTTTTAGTTGGGTTTATCAACCCCTGCGTTGCGTAAGAGGCGACTAACGGGATCGGTCTGGCTCGTTGACTTGGTTGATGCATGTCACCGTTTCCCAGTTTTATAGATCGATGCTCATGACGTCAGTCATTGGATTGTCTGGCCCAGACTAGAGTATTTACAGGTAATACAACTGGAATATTGCTGGCTTCGGCGGTAGACAGACGGAGCTCTTGAACACTGCAGTTAGTGCACTGAAGCCGAATGTCTGTAATGATATAGCTATTGGGTTCTCTCCCATCGCGAAAAGTGAAGAAAAAAACACCTGGTCCAGGTGTAATGTACTAGCGTTAAAATGGGATTCCCACCTTTCATCTCCCATATGGGGAATCGAACCCAGGCTTTTGGCATGACGAAACAGTGTTTTAACCACGAAGGTACACGACCGCCCGGAGGTAGGGTGATAAAGATATGTCCTTCGGTGTAAGAGGAAAACATGCCAGGTTATACTCCCTGCAATAAATCAGATATAACCATATCCACTTGGCGTCTCAGAAATATGTGTTGTTGGCCCAGACCATGCCCCATTTGGCTGATGAGTTCACTACAGTCGTGCCCCGTTTATCCGAACACTTGTGGTTTTCGGATAAACGAAGTTTCGGATATCTGAACCGAGGACCATATGGAAAAAGACAGACAAACAAACGAAATAAAATGTATAAATGAGGGCTGAGGTCGACCTCCCCAGGTTGTGATGACCACAGGGATTGTAACACACAAGATATATTTGACACTGAATGACATGGGATCCATATGGTCCTTTACACAAGCCATGAATTAGTAAAACTGTGAGGAAACTGCACTATCTTTGTGGATGTGTTTCAGAGAACAGTTCACCTGAAACTGATCTCTGACAGAGGCCAAGATCCCGATGTTATCAGCTGAAATACAATCGTTATCGTGACAATAGCAATTGTGTATAGTTATGATTTACACACTGAGTAGCTATAGAACTGTTACCGCACGTCGTACCCAACCATCAATATGACACAAAACGCTCAGGCAGCAAATAGTCTAGTCTGTCGTACAGACCCTGAAGCAAATATATCCAAGAAAGCCCACACAAGTCTAGAAAATGTGGCAAGTCTAGATTTCCACATCTTCAGCATTTTCTGAAAATGAAGAAAGTCTCAGGGCTCCTTTTCATTATATTTGTTTTTACTATGAACTTTTTTCAGTAAAATATGTTCATTTCAGAGACTAGTTGTTAGTCTACAAATAGTGTTTCTCATGGCACTGAACGACGAAGATTCACAGGTGTATGGAACTTGAATAATGATGGTTGCGGCCTAAAACAACACTTGTGCATTTGATCACGCACGCATTCGCCGAAAGAATCAATCCATCATTTTACATGTGAGGAATCACACATCTGATCATGCTTACTGAAAGAAAGGCTAAATTGTTGTTTAACTACAGTTCTGAGCTTGTGGCTGCGCGACATGTCTCCCTTCTCTATCTTCGACCGCCGTCATATATTTAGTTGGAATATACCTGAGTGCGGCGTAAAACTAAACTCACTCACTATCTTCGACCTATCAATGGGCGTGCGTTATATTTACCCTCATTCCACTCTGTTGCTCTAAAGTGCTGTTAGTCTAGCTCACTACATGTAATCGGTTTCTTGTGTATTTAGTGCCGACCTACTATGTTTATCTGGAAACATAAAATCGATATCTCACTGGAAGCAAACATCACTTCTGCCGGAACTATTTTCAGGCTCATTGACAGAATGGAGTTCTGAACATTTGTGAAGTAACAAAGTGCATTAGAAATGGAATAGTCGCTTTTTTTGTAAAACAGGTTAATTCCAATCCCATTCCTGTCATATGTATACCAGGGCGGTAGGGTAGCCTTGTGGTTAAAGCGGTCGCTCGTCACTCCGAATACGCGGGTTCGATTCCTTACATGGGTACAATGTGTGAAGCCCATTTCTGGTGTCCCCTGCCGTGATGTTGCTGGAATATTGCTAAAAGCGGCATAAAACTAAACTCACTCACTCATGTATATACCCGTCATGAACATAACTGTTGTTAAAGACCACCCAAGAGACTTCAGCAAGCAGACTACCCAACAACCAGTGTTTATGATACTGCTATGCATACTTCATGTATTCCAGAAAGTGAATGGGAGGGTCTGTTACCTAATACACTGAGCGAAACATGTGAAACTCAGCCGTCTAAGGCGCATGACATCGCGGTGC